TGGGGGGGGGGGGTCGGGGGTCAACCACACATGGGAGATAAGTACCTGCGCCATCCAGAAGAACTTGAATTGTGCTGCTTTCGTAGACAGACTCGGACGCATCCATAAGTCCAACCATGAATCTTTCGCTCAACGACTCTGTGAAGTTACTTGTGAATTGAACAATTCCCCTATTCCGTTTATGGATGTGATCTTGGAGGGCATCCTCGTAATTTGAATATTCCGTCTGTTCGAAAAGAGCATACAAAAATATCAGACTTTGAGCACGGATTGTCATACATGAAATGGTAAAAGTATTGCTACTGCATTAGAGTGTCGCGTATGTTGCCTACCCACTGAATAAAAGGACACTTCTTGAATTATTTGCTATAAAATTAAGATAGATTGCAATTGTTCATTACATTGCAAATTGCCTATCTTTCTCACGCGTGGGACTCATTGGAGTATGATTTTGATAGAAAATTTAACAACTTTTGATTTTGTTAGTAAGAGGAAACATTGAGAAATGCATTAAATGATTCTATTCCTTTGTTTCATATCTTTACCTAAGAAAATATACTTTAATGAGTAAGGCAGAGCGAAATGTTGCGGGAAGGCTGTGCAATTTTCAAAGCAAGCCGTTCTAGTAAAAGGGAGGTGTACTGTACATCGAAGTTCATTTTTCGCATGCGGGGAAAAAATTAATGGAAAGGAGGTCGGGCTTTTTATGTTGAATTAAATCCAAAAAGTCGCAATTACTTCCTTGTCTGAATGGAGAATTTGCACGCAATTTTTTTATTGCTTCATCTGAAAGTGCCTAATGAGCTGAGTTCGCAATATTTTTCATAATTTTTTTCTGACATGGGAAATTGGAGAAAAATTGATTTGAAAGTGAGAAAATGCACCGCCTAGTGACGTCATCTGGCGGCATTTCCCATTTAAACACATGTATTTTCGCAGAATCGGTTATTTTGTCATATCTCCTCTAATAATTGCTCAATTTATGAATCAAGGGTATCTTCGTGTTCAGTTCACTCAGAGGATTCCACTTAAACAGGAAATTCGTCAAATTTCAGACCCTTGCAAATTCTCCAAGTTGAAGAATTCATAACCTCACTTTGGAAAATTGTATATGCACTGATGTAAATCAGTGCCAAGTCATACTGAAAATCGTTTACCATCACATAAGTTCGATTTTTCAGCTCGTTCAGGAAAATGCAGCTGGCCATCATTTTTGGATTAGACAGTATACAGCTATTGGTGAAAGTTCGAGGGCAATTTTCAACGCCGCCGGGAAACTCTTCGTTGACTATTGCTAGAGGTAAATAGTAAGGATCATGAGCAAATGCTATTTTGGCACAGATATTTAATACGAGAGGCAGCATGAGTCCAAATATTGTTAACCTGAAAACAAGCAAAATACAAGCGTTGAGGCAAAAATTATACAAGGAGGCAACGCCCCGTGGCCGCTACGCGGCTCATACGATTCAGCCTCTTCAGAGGTGCTTCGCGCATGACCCCAAGGCCCATCTCGCGGGCCCCCATGAGCAGGGCCGGATTTAGGGGGTGGCCACATGGGCCGAGGCCCATGGCGGCAAATGTTGAAATTTTTTGCAAATGTAGATATCAAGAAAAAAATCTGATCCAGAAAAAAAATCACGAACGAGAAAAGGCGAATAAATCTCTCATTTCCTGAGAGTTAAAGTATATTAATTGCTAATTTGTTCGTCTTTCGTCGTACAAGAGACAGCGCATTTCATTAGTCTAGTTGAGAGAGAAACTAAACACGAAAGGCCTGGAGCGGCGCGGCGCAGAGAGCAATGGTGACGAGGACTTGAGATGGAAAGGAGAAGCCCTCGGCGCGCCGGTCAGCATGAGATACATATTAGCGCCTACAAGACTGCATGAATACTTCACGCGTTGCGTCAAAAACAGTTCGAGGTCAGCGGCGGTCGGCGTGAAACGCATAGCGCCTACAAGACTATAGGGATACTTCACGCATTGCGCCAAACACTGCGGTTGGCGCGGTGGCGGAAATTAAAATCATTCAACCACATTCTCATTTATTCTTGCATAATTTTTTCGTTCTTTTCTTATAAATTAAAGGCCTCGTCCACACAGAGATAGGTTTACGGAACTTAATTTTTACGCAAAGTTCTGTGAATTTTTGCTAGTAGTGTTGATAGGGTTTTCGCAAATAATGTGTCCAACAAGAATGAACGCGTCTAATGCACCCCTCTCCCTTCGGCACGTTCATTTGATGGTTTTTATTGATGTTTCAAAACGAATAAGAAGGTGGCGGCAAAATACAGGCAGCCCACGCCCACGGGCGGTACGTAGGTAAATCCGGCCTTAATATTAGGTGTTGCATTTAGAAGAAAATTTCACGAGGGAACCAATAAAACTAGTTCTAGAGCCTCAAAGTTTTATGTGCATCACAATGTTTTGTGTGCATCACAATGTTTTGTGTGCATCACAATGTTTTGTGTGCATTGTGTGCCTCAAAGCATCTGGACACCATCTCCTATCGATATAGCTGCAAAAATCATGAATGTCGGCCCTGTAGGAGCTTTAGAACGAACTTTGATAAAAATGGTTCACATAGTTTACATGGAAGAACTTACAAAGTCCCGTCATCTAAAAAACTCAGGTAATATTTCCGAAATCGGAATTGAGAGGCCTCATCTAGGGACTATCACTCGTCAATAGCCGCAAAAATCACGTCGACCCAGTACACTGAAAAAAGTTTATGTACTCACGTTGCATAAATTATGGGTCGGGGCCATATACAGACTGTGAAAAATTTGATGCCGACCTATGAATAGTGATAGAGTCCATTTTAGTAAGACCCAGCGTCCATACCGCATGAATGGTGAGTTCATACACATACTTTTCCATACACGACACGTTTACGGCAAATCTCTGCTATTCGTGAAATCCAGACCGTATGTATGAGCAGTTCATAACTTGGATTTTCCAATTAGTATAGAATCTCACTACGTAACCATTTTTTTCAGTGTAAAACGGTAGAACGAACTGTGACGAAAGCGAAAATTTAAGGCGTCAAAGAGCTTAGTAATGATGATGATATCTTAATAGTGGGCTCTCTAGAGGACCACAAGACACGATATGAATTGGATCACATTTTTTAATACTTATACTATTTCATACTTACACCAGGTTGTTTTTAAGAACGTAGAAATTTTTCAACAGTTGGGCCTTTATGCGTGATAGAGAGATGCGTTTGGGTTTCTCGAAAGTCCTGACCTTAGAAAGACTAGTTTCTTCTTTGGAGATCTGAAATGATGAGAGGTGTACAGTGAGATATTTGACAGTACAATGAAGTCAAACAGAATATGATCTTTAGCCTGGTTTCGTGAATTGACACTTAATTTTACGAAAGCAAATACGAGCCAAACAGCACAGTGACATAATTATTCGACTAGAAGTAATTTACTGATTTTTCGTATTTTCCTCCTTTATCTCCCTCAGTACTTTCATCGCATTCAAAACGTGAGTAGGAGAAGGTTTATGATATTCGATAGGCATACGGTGCCAACCATTGTTGACACCTTCCTCAAAGAAAGGCCTCTTTGACTTCATCATTATTGACACAGTTCTGCGCGATTTACAATTTCCGCGGCGGATATTACACATTTTCAAATTTTCCCGCGTCTGCAGACTTTTCTTCTCTCAGGCCCTGGCCATTGACAGATTTAGCGGCTATGTGCGCTTGAACGCCATATTTAAAAACATTTAACTTACTTTACGGGAAGTTTTATTGTTTTCCTGGTAACAGAGAGCGAGGAATACATCCTCAAGGTAATCAGTATTGTACTCTTTGAGCAAAGCCAGTGGGGTATCTTGTGTAAGCATCTTTCCATTTCGCATCAGACCTATCTAAATTTTGAACACACATTAATAAGCTTGATTAGTCATTATGATGGGAATACATGATAAGAACTAAAATGAATTCATTTAAAAATAAAAAAAAGGCAAGTTTAAAATCAGATTCAAGAAATAACCTTCCGAATGTGATCGTTTTTTGCGGTGAAAATGAATATTGTAGAGTTAAAAAGCATCATTATTTTGTCTGGAGTCTGAAAAATAACAGTTATTCCATGAGGCACTTCAGGGAAATATTTATAATCATATAATGAAATCACGATGGGTCCTTTCGAGTTAACTTGGCCTGCACTCCTCCACGTACTTCCAAGTCTCTCCAAGATAGAAAAAAAGATTGCCGAGGTCTATTTGAGGTTTTTTTTTCTTTTCTTTTTTTAATTCCTCCTCAAGATAACTTTTGGAGCTACGCTCGCACCAAATTCGACCGTGAACAACCTCATGTATCATACACCCATAAATCGCCTCGAATAGCAACAAGTGTTTTATTCTCCTTTTACTTGACTCATTTTGCTCTGGGGTAAAGAAACTTTCAGTTTCTTTGAGTGTTTTCTATTTTCTAGATTTTCTGGGTGAGGGGGAGTAGCTGATACTGTTTCAAATTTTAAGGGGAGGGGAAGCCCACCCTAACCTTCAAGTATTAAGCTCATGAATGTTTCACAAAACCTTTCTCAAGTTTTTTTATTTTTGTCCGAGCTCCATTAGAATATGAGGACTTATCTGTAACAATAGCGGATGTGAAAAATTACCTTTTTGAAGCACGCTTAAAAAACTGTTTTGTTCACAGAAAAATTTAATATGTTTGGCTCTGGCATAATGTACAGATCTCGAAGATCACGTCTCAAGTATTTTCTCAAAATTTTCTCGATGCCAAAACAGTTTTTTGAATGTGTTTTGCAAAGGTAATTTTTCACATCCGTTATTGTTACAGATAAGTCCTCATATGCATTCTTGTGTTCAATGGACACTTTGCGATGTGACATTTTAAAAAAATTATGAACCGTAAAAGATAGGAATCCGTAGTAAAAGTTCCTCATTGATACTGACCCCATCTGCTTGGCGTGCTTCTTCTATGTAGTGTGTTGTGAGAACTACTGTTTTTCCTTGATTAGCCATTTCTCGTAGCCTATCCCAAAAACTGTAAGCACCAAAAATATGTAGGTAATTAGCATGTATGTCAAAAGGCAACGCATTTGAGGACATATTACACTAGATGCAGCTCAACATGAAAACAGAAAAGGGTTGAATGTTCCGATAAATTAGTGTCAAAGTCATGTTTGGTACTCCAAACAGTACCAAGGATACAAAGTAATTCCATCGAGGAAGTGGAATAATACTAGTTTCCTGTATTTCTCGAAAAGGGTTAGTTGTGTGTGTGTGTGTGTGTTTTTTTTTGTTTTTTTTTTGAAATCTAGTGTCAAATTTGAGCTAAACGCCCCAAAGCCCCTTTGACACCGCAATTTGATAGCAATATAAGCAATCAATATGCAATAATATGAAACAAATCTGTTGATTGGTTGCAGAGATGCTTTTTTCCCTCCACTTTAAACTTTACCCGGTTGCCATTCTGTAACAATTTTAGATATTGGCCTTAATTTTGCGCCGAAAATTATATTTTTTTTCTGTCCATTCCGACAATGTATAAAAGGTAGAGGTTGTCATTTAAAAAAGTTATGAAAAGTACCCCCCCCCCTCTCAGACGGATCTCTCCAAATTTTTTTCGGGAGGGGGGGGGCAAAAGCTGATTTTAACTTTTGAACATAATCGAAGTTTAAACTGGATCGCATAATTAGCATTAACATTATAAGAGGTGCGTAATTTTTGAAAATTGAATCGATCTGTATGCATGGCCATTAGTTTCGGAGACCTAAACGAATGGGTATAAAAATAACCGTGGCAATAAGCTGATTTATTATGCGCGTTTATTGGTAGGGCCTTTACCGCCACCGATGGAAATTGAGCGCATGCCTATTTTGTCATCCTGGAGATAACGCCGCACTCATTTTCAGATGCTGCCAAATTTCCCTTGTAAAATACCTATTTTTGTGAAATTATTAATATTTTCACATGAAATTTTTAGTACCTTCATATCAAAGTTCGAAAACGAACTCTTCAAAAAATCAGAAAAAAAATATTTCAAAATTTCCTCGGAAGTACGTATTCAATCGAGGGAAATTTGGCAACGTCTAATGACTCATGCGGCGTTCCTCCTTAGAATGACAGTATTGGTGTGCGTTGCGGATACTCCTGATTTTATTTCATCAAAGGTATGTTACGGAAATTATCTTGGCATTTAGGTACTTTATTTTTCAATAATAATTAAACCTTTAGCCAAGTTTACCTTCAGAATATTATCGCGGTAGAAGTATAACTTACTTTTTACTCAAAATTGGATCCAGCCCAACAGTCGGCTCATCCAAGATTAAGACTTTGGGATCGTGTAAGAGAGCTACTGCCAAAGAAACTCTTCTTTGCTGTCCTCCACTGGAAAATGAAGAAAATATAATTATCATTCGCTGTTGGATTTTCTTCCAAATATTTTTAACCATGTATGTCCGTTTGATTGAAAGATATTTATATCAACGTTTCTTAGCTTTGAGTTTAGGGCTTTCAGATTTTTCAACAAGTTACCCGAAGAGTTGAAAAATCTTTATCAAAGCTGAGTCGCCAAATTTGTTCATTAAGGTATTAAAAGAACACTTTCTACAAAACCCTCTCTACACCTTGCAAGCAGTGGCGTGGCGTGAATTGCGATAGATCGATTGTTATGCCATTTAAACCTATGGTAAAGAATCGATTATTAAGGTGTTCGCTGCGAACACCCTATTTATCGATCTTTTTCCATAGGTTTAAATGGCAGATCATTCGATACATCGCAAAGCACGCCACGCCACTGCTTGCAAGAGTTTTTAACGTAAGATTACTCTTATTTTCAACTTTTTCTAATGTGACTTGTATTGGGCCTTTCTGTTCAGGCTAATGTGCTAATCTTTACAAATAAATAGTATGATGGAAGTATGATTCGCCGTCAATTCTTCACTTTTAACGTAATTCATTTTTGAACTTTCAGTATTAAATGGATTTTATGAGATGTAATCTGTTCAGCGTCAACATCAGCTGAAATTATTAAATCGTCTGGAAGTTTCGATTAAGAAACAATATTGATACCTACAAATTTTGATGAAATGAGATTTAGACGAGGTAACGACTAAATGCTAGTCTACTGTAAAGCAGTCTTCTTACAAGCGGGTTAAATCATTTTGAGAATTATAATCTTATTCGATTTTGGATCTAAGAAAATTCCTGCAAGTTGATTATTCCTAAGGTCTGGGGTTGAAAATTAATTTCGAGGCTGTCAACCAATGAGCGTTATTGCTATTTTTGTGGTCAAAAGTTTCTCGGAATTTATTGGTCAAGTGGTGTAGTGGTGCAACAAGAAACACACCATATGGACGGATAAATTAAAATACTTCTTTTCTACACAAATCAATGGATTTGAGTTGTATCTAAAATAAAGACCGAGAATTGGTTCCCTTCTAACAAACTCGGTCCTTTTGGCCTCCTGAACTTTAGAAATATGAAAAAAATATCGCTCAGTATTATTAAATTATAAATTATTCTGACGCTTGAAAGACAAATTGCTGTGTTCATCTTCATGGACATTCTGACACAGCTAGAAAATAAGGCAGAATAAGTTCGCCAAATTCTTTATTAAAATTTCAATCAAACGCGCTGAAAAAGGAAGTTTTTGTACGTCTTTTTCCCGTAAAAAGCCAAATTTTCTCACCTTAAATTTAGAGGGCGTCTACTGAAAGGTGGTAAGGCTAACAAATCGGATAGATATTTACTCCTCCTTTCAATTTCGTCTGCGTCTAAATTATGCAGGTACCCGTAAAACCTCATATTTTCCCGGACGCTAAGTCTCGTGAATAATGATATATCCTAAAAAAAAATATGGATGAATATTAATTCTAAAAAAGAAAGGAAGAATGTATAAATAGATTATTTGCTGATTCGTTGCCTTCATGACCTTTGGAGCCAAATGGGTTCGATAAACTAGTACTAAAAACCGCCTCTAATAAAAATTAAATGCATAAATAGATAAAAGGACAAAAAATAAATTTGTCAGTTGAGGGCTAAAATTTAGCTCCAAAGCACTTTTTTTGAACAGGAAACCGAAGGAAATAATGCCTTAAAACTTTACGTAAATTTTTTCTGTGATATAAAGAATGCAATCAAATAATTTTAAATCAGCATATTGCTGAGTATTCTGTACAAAATAATTAAAAACATCTCAGTTAATTTGGCCAAGGCCAATGTATTAAATAAAAAAGAATTTTTTTTGAAACATAATTAAAAAATTAATTAAAAAAGTAAGAGTAGCCAATGTATTCAAGCTGATTCTGGTAAAATGCATTCAGATACTTGAAAAAATGGAGGATGACTTATTGAGGATTTTTCTAATCATTCATTAAAACAATGGAAATCCAATTTTCAGGAATGTATCATCATACATGAGGACACACAAGTTGCTTTTACAATGCATACTGACGCTCTGCGACACCCAAGCGCCACACATACCCGAAAATTATTAGGCCACTGACATCTCTTGATTTCATTTCTACGTATCATCAATTGCTACACCCATGCTACATTTTGGAAAAAATAAGGGGACCTCAATATCGAAGCACGTTTATTGCATCTTTATAGCTTTCCTATACTTCACACGCAGTAATGTCCTTTACCAAATGAAAAACACTCATGTAATTGTCAGTCATCTTACCTGGGGCATAAAACCTATTTCTTTGAGATCTTTAAGACTAGTAAAAATGGAGCCAGCGTCTAAGTCGCTTCTTCCGACTATTGCATTGACTAGAGTAGTTTTTCCGCATCCACTTGGTCCGAGCAGAGCAAATCTGTCAAAAAGAAAACTTCGGTCAGTGAATATCGCATAATGAATATAACGTTGGGTCGTCGATGGTGAACGATGGTGACATCTTCCATTAATCATAATGTATTTTCAGTGGAGTGGTAGATTATCTCTTTCATCACGAGAAAAATTATTCTGCTGATTCAACAATTTTGTAGTTAAAAAGTTTCTTACACGTTCCAATGTAGATTTTCAATAAAAAAATACTAATTTAACCACCCCCGTGGTTGAATTAACTTTCCAATATTGTAAAATGTAAATTTGAAACATGTCGGACATATTTTTTTAACAATTTAATCGTTAAATCAGCAATCCGTTTTTTCCGTTATTGTCATAATCGTTTTGGAGCGTTTGATTTCTTATAAAAAGCTTGACTTTTAATGCGATTCTCGAATGATAAAATATAATTAGATGAAGGCAGTGGGCGCTGAAAAGTGCACGTGCCTCCGAGAAATGATCGAGTCTATCAATTAACAGTTAATTATCCCGGTATCGGTTAGCGCGACGCAACTTTGTAAAAAGCATTGGCCGAAGGCCAAATGGAGCAGGGATTGACACACGCCGTTGTGCGGCTCTGCCGATATGTCTACGAGTACCGCCAGCCATGACTGCAGTTGACAGATCGTCGTACTAAAAAATATTCTGCGGCGTCTTTATAGATGGAAGCGCCAAAGCAGAATTAGTATAACTTCTTCTCCTGTAACCCAAGTAACCTCGAGGTGACTTTTTCCTCATCATTGTAGGAATCCGATAATCATAAATTGATCGTCAGGAAATGAAATGTGCCAGGAGAGGACCGGCTCAATTCATCTACATGAAATATTAATGATTATCACTTATCAGTGGATTCGGTGAATGTTTGAAAACTAACCAAAATTCTATGGATTCGACAAATAGTATGTGAGTTATGTAGTTTAACTCTGTGCCTTGTTAAGAATTAAATAAACCGCATACAAACTAAGTAGGATTGCTTTAAGTGTTATGCATATCAACTTCGACGACGTGATAATATCCATGAAATTATGGGACGTGGTGCAGACCTTATTTCATAGCTATTTGGCAACACTAAGGAAGTAATGTCAATACGCGATGAGTCTCAGACAATATAATGAGTTCTTTGACGCACCTAATAATTTAAATCCCAACGTATAATATTAATAATCTCTTTCATACATGCATCAATCATACATGCATCCCAGTTACAGGAAAAATGCGTGGGACTCTTGCGCTAGCTATGGAAACAATGTTATCAGTAAAGATAAGCTGCACTTTAGCGGGATTGCACTCAAGATCTAATGGGAAACAGCAGTCGTTTGACAAAAAAGCAAATTTATCATTGCGGAAATTGACAAAATTAATTACGGCTTTTTATAAACGATGAGCAATTTGGGTTAAAACTCAAGGGATGTCATTTGAAATTTTTGAGTTGTCCCCTGCCCCCCTCCCCCCGAGGGGATCAAAAACTGGAAAGTATACTTAAAAAATGTTCCCCTTCGATAAGAGGAAAAACGTTTTCAACCGCAAGTCGATATCATAATTAAAACTAAAGTTACGGCCAGTGGTGCGTGACTTTTGAATTACCCTGTATAACATAGATATATCCATTAAAGGTGTGCCCCTGGTACTTTTGGAGCGGTCCTCACTTAAAGAAGTCTATTAATTCAGCTTCATTTACAACTGACCCATTAGACATATATTTGTTCCGGGTGTCACCTTGGGCGTGTGCCTCAAGCCACGAGATCCTCGATTTTTTTTTTTTTTTTTTNTTTTTTTTTTTTTTTTTTTTTTTTTTGGCGGACGAGCAGTCTAGAAAATATTAGAATTTTACTGGGAGGGAGGGGAAGAAAAGGAGAGTGGAAAATTGACGGAAGGTTCCATCAACCGACAATTTATTAACATACTGGCGACCGGCGTGTGACACAACGGACGAGTCGGCTCGACGCACAGCGGGCTGATTATTGAAATTCACAGACAAAGAAGACGAAATGCGATTAGAGCGATTCCATTGGTTGAAACGAGAGGTTGTAATGGACTAAGGAGGAAATTATTGACTAGCTATAGGACCTCTCGGAAGTTGCCGTTAGTAAGTTTGTTATTTATCTCCTTAGTCTATTGCAAGAGCACCCACTTTCACAAATAAGATCGTTCCATTTTCTCTTCGTCCTCTGTATCTATAGCTTTGTCTACCAATTGCAATGCTCATCTTGAAGGGCAGCGAGTCAAGGAGGAGAGATCGAACATGTTGTGCGGAAACTTTTAAAAGCCGCTTTAAAGTCTTCGTTAGGTATAAAAAGTAAAAGTTTAAAAGTGGTTTTAGTAGTTCCTTCGCGGGATTT